TCGTTCATGTGTATGTTGACAGAGAGCATAGATTCAACAAGAATCATCCTAAAACCCTGATAAAGAACATAAGAGTCAACAACGATGAGCCAATGTTACCCGAATATAGATGTATTGATTTAGGAATCAAAATCCATTTGCTCATTTTTATAGAAAACATGTTGAGCAATGATTATACATAATGTGCATCTTGCTATAAATTAAGTCCGGACACTGCAAGACATACTTCTGACCTAATGCCTGGCACCGTCAAGTCAACAACACTGAGTAGTTCTCTTGCACTGTAAGTTTATTTCACTTCATTACAACACTGAATAGTACATTTATTTCACTTTATCAAAAGTTAACTACACCCAGGAGAAAATATTACAAGGCAAAAAGCCCCACCGCGAATCTAACCAAAAAACTCTACCGTCTGTCTCTCAAATCTTTCTCCCCACTTTTTAATCCAAATGACACACACCCGACCTTGAACATGACAAGAGTTCACACTCGTTACTAAACCCAACCGTCAAAATCACAATACACACCGCACCTCTGATTACATGACCTTGACAGACACCTGGAGATTTTTTTTTTTTAACACACTTCTAAATTTCATCTGAACGCGACAGCAACAAAGGCGCATCTGTGAAATCTAAAATATTCATTTTTTTTTTAATATGATCATCGGCGAATGGAAAATAAGTTCCATGAGAATTGACTATTGAATATTGAGCAATGAGCACTGGGCACTGAACAATCAGCAATGAGCACTGAACAATGAGCACTGGGCACTGAACAATGAGCACTGGGCACTAAAAATGAGAAATGAGCACTGGGCACTGAACAAAGAACAATGAGCACTGGGCACTGAACAATGAACAATGAGCATTCCGTCGCCAGTCTGTACGTAAAAGATAAAAAAAATATGTAGAAAATGGGGTTGAAACTCATTTGGGAACCACTTAATCCTGATAAATTCCTTCCAGGAATCACGAAGAACCGTTCAGGAGACCGTGAAGGTGTGTACTATGCAGATTGAAGATAATCGCGGATGAATCTCAAACCTTATCAGGGATTGAGACGCGTCCAACGAAAGGGATGGGGTTGGGGGCAAGGCTTTACATCAGTAATCAAGCAGCTGCTGGAGAAAAAAAAAAAGTTTTTAACCTAACTACTATCTTAACAACCCGAGTTCTCTTCCCATGGACAACGCATTCAACAACATAAGAAGAACTGTGCAGGAAAAGCTACATCAAAGGCAAAATACATGGTTGAGTGAATACATGGTTGAGTGACAAGACCGATGCGGTCCAGGGCTATGCGGACAGACATAATATGATAATTTCTACTCCTCTCTCAAAGAAATCTACGACGTCCCTGCTTAATTAGGATCATCCCAACTTTTGAGAGCTGCTGAGAAAACTCTGATTACCTAGAAATAAACAATTATCAAAAGCTGGGCTGAGCATTTTGACAACATCCTAAATCTCCTTTCATCCGTCAATGACGAAGTCATACATCGACTCCCGCAGGTGCCAATCAATCAAGAAATGGAGGACCCTAAACTCCCCCCCCCCCACACACACATTTACCGACACGCAGCAATCTATTTGCCTTCTCTCGAGTGGCAAAGCTCCAGGTGATGACTCCTATTCCAGAGGAAATATACAAGGAAGGTGGCACAGCATCCACTGGAAGGCTTCACAAGCTGTTCCTACCTATCGGACAGCAAGAGCCTATCCCTTTTGAGAGCTGCTGAGAAAACTCTGATTACCTAGAAATAAACAATTATCAAAAGCTGGGCTTAGCATTTTGACAACATCCTAAATCTCCTTTCATCCGTCAATGACGAAGTCATACATCGACTCCCGCAGGTGCCAATCAATCAAGAAATGGAGGACCCTAAACCCCCCCCCCCCCACACACACATTTACCGACACGCAGCAATCTATTTGCCTTCTCTCGAGTGGCAAAGCTCCAGGTGATGACTCCTATTCCAGAGGAAATATACAAGGAAGGTGGCACAGCTTTCACTGGAAGGCTTCACCAGCTGTTCCTACCTATGTGACAGCAAGAGACTATCCCACGGTATTTAAAGGATGCATCAATTGTTTACTTCAACAAGTGCAAGGAGAGCCGTCAAGCATGTGACATCTACCATGACATATATTTGCTCTCCATTGCAGGCTAGATATACTCGCTAGAATCTTATTTAAACAGTCTAAATACGCATGTAGAGAAGAGTCTCCTGCCAGACATGTGGTTTTCGCTTAGACCGTGGAAATATATAGTGTTCGCGGCCAAACTGCTGCAGGAAAAGTATCTTCCGCACCTTTATATAGCAGGCCGAGTCTTTCAACATTGTCAGTAGAGAGGTTCTCTGAAAGATCATGAACATGTATGGATGCCCCAGAAAGTTCAATGGTGCGGCATTCCCATAATAGTATGAAGGATAGAGTCCGGGAAAATGGAGAGATCTCAATGTTGCATCCTATGGTTTCCGCCATGTTTTCTGACGCTTTCAGTGATGGAGACATTGGAATCGGCATCAGATACTGAACTGACGGTAAAGTATTTAACATCAGGAGGCTTCAAGATAAACACTGGGACCTGATAGACATCGGGGACTTTCTGTTTGCCGAAAACTGCAATGTGCCCCTAACGCTGAATCTGAGGTTGATATGCAACGCAGTGTTGCAAACTTCTGCACAAACTTCGATCTTACCACTAACACAAAAAGGCTGAGGTCTTGCACCAAAAATTTCCACGAAAACTTTACATCGAGCTCAACATCCAAGTCAATGGCGAAAGCTTTAAACTGGATAACGGCTCTACCTTGGCAGCATACAGTCCCAAAGTGTGACCATCGATGATCATGTGAACTTTGGAATAGCAGGAGCCAGCGCGCCATTCAGAAAAAATATTTAGGAATGTATGAGAGAGATGAAACAGCATCCGAACTAAAACGAAACTTTAACTGGCAGCTGTCCTCCCCTTGCTACGTTGTGTATATGAAATATGAACAGTTTATGAACATCATGATAGGAAGCTAAACCACTTTGACAAGATATGCCGTAGAAAAATCCTCAACTTCAAGTATAAAGTCGCAGACATCTAGGTACTCACACAAGCAGGTCTGGCAGGACAAGGTCCCAGGCACCTAGGTACTCACACAAGCAAGTATAGTATCCCCAGCATACACACTTTATTAATGCAGACCCAGCTTCCCTCAAGCAAGGCAAGCATTTTGCTGTTGGACAGAAGGAACATTTTAAAAGCACACTAAAGGCATCGTTCAAAGCATCGCTCAAAGCCTTTCACGTAGAACCAAAGACGCGGGGAAAGTCGTCACAGAACCAAACACGTGGGGAAAGTCTTGACAGAACCAAGCATGTGGGGAAAGTCTTCACAGAACCGAACACGTGGGGAAAGTCTTCACAGAACCAAACACGTGGAAAGTCTTCACAGAACCAAACACGTGGAAAGTCTTCACAGAACCAAACACGTGGGGAAAGTCTTCACAGAACCAAACACGTGGAAAGTCTTCACAGAACCAAACACGTGGGGAAAGTCTTCACAGAACATGTGCTGCAAAGCTCAAAAGACATGCCAGAAAAGCCCAAGTTAACTCTGTGCCCTGCACCATATGTTTTAGGTGCCCGGATTACTCAAATAGCATACACAATTAATATAAACACAAATATTCCCTCAATATAGACACGATGAGCGCCATCCCCACCCCAACAAACCACCCCCAACCACCCCCGCCTTGCAAAATGCTTCACACCTTTTGAAAAAAAACTCCTGGGTTCCATTTGGGTCATAATTTTATCCTTTGTAACAGGAATCAATAGTCAGTTGTGTGAAAAACCGGTGTTACAAAGTGGTAAAAGGATTTCACCCCGATAACTATTAAGGAAACTATGCAGTGGTTCTCAATTAAAATGTACCTCAGCGACTAAAAAAAAAAAATGTTAGTGACAAATTGTCATAGAAAACCAAAAATCTTTTGCACGGTTCTCTGGTGTTGCTTCACTGTACCTTATTATTGAATTAATCAGTGTTTCTCCTCTATTGTTCGCTACCAGGCTATATGTGAATGATCATAAAAGAAAAGAAGGGAACAACTTTTCTAATATTCTCGATCTAACATATCCCTCTCCAACGGCAACGAATTCAGATCGAGGCGTCAAAGGAGATATAAGTTTTACAATGTTCATATCCTTTGTGGATATTCTTTTTCGTCTTCACCATAGCCGGCGCAAGCATGGGTGGCTAGCGTCGACACGTGGCAATGATTCTTTTCATACATAATTATATAATGACTTAATGATATACAGAATGGATTAATACAATATATCCAGCTAACTATAATGGATAACATAATGGCTAATAACTATCCTGTGGCCACATCACCATTGTTATAGAGAGCTTGTTTACATAATATTTCTCGTGCGTGCCCTCTGATTGACCCCGCATGAGACGCTGTGTTCACAAAAGGGTGTGGCTTAGGCTTTTGATGTATTCTTGTTTACACCGCCAGCTACTAAAAATAATTAATCTGTTCCAAGTAGTGTTTTGTAGAATAAATGGGATTTTTCTAGAAATGGCATGTAGCTTGTAGAAGGCAGGGCTTAGGCGTCGGTAGACCCACCTATATAAGGGATTGACAGGCACGACGAGGGAGGGAGATTTTCAGATAAATTTTCTTAACATTACGAGGCGTGTTTTATTCTTTGTGTATTTGTGAGCTTATATGTGTTTATTTCGCATTATTTATTGGCACATTATTCTAACTGTGTTAACTGTGTACCGGTACAAGATCTACCATACTGTAAGTTGAAGATTGTAATTATATTTTTCTTTTCTTTTGTAATTATCTTAAGACATAATAAATCTTAATTAATTGTAACTAGAAACTGTTTTGGGTCGTATCTTTAATATTGTTGATTCTATGGTATCGTCCTTTGTTAGGCACTGTTTACAACGAGCCAATTAAAATTAAAATAGGAGATTAANGCATTCGACGCCAGGCATCGGTAGGAACGCTTGTGGACATCGGCCCTGAACCTCGGCACTTGGAAAGGATGGAAATACAGCGTGTTGTTGGCCAGGACCGTCACCAGGTCAGCGATGTTGTCTACGGCACTGCCATCCTCTTTAATCTGGAGGTCGGGGTGGGGGTGGGGGGTGGGGTGGGGATGGGGGGCGGCGCTTCTATTTCTTGGATCAGTTCGTGGTTCAGTCCGCTGGTCAAAGTATTTATCAGTCCAGTGACTTTCCACGTGGGGTTGGCGGTGATCAGGGGAAATAACTTGTCCTGACCCTGGGGAAAAAAAAAAAAGGGGGGGGGTGGGTTCTAAGTAGGTCGTCGTGAATACATGAAAATTTTCAGGACAGCTCCATTTCGTCACAACATCAACCACTAGTCGGCTTTTTTTTTTTCACTCCTGCACAACAAGGAGAGGTGTCAGTTGAATGTAAGAACCAAGATGTTTCGCCCCAGAGCGTGTTCTCGTGTTAGTATCCCGTTGCTGCCAGTGAGCCGGGTTGTGTGTTGCTATTGTTGGCACGACGTCGGGGGTATCAATCTTTTAATGCGATCCCTAGCTACCTGCCGAGGCATGTCGTGTAACCCATGTTGTGTATACAACACCTCGGTTCGGGTAAAGGCAGGCCAAGCAGCGGATGGTGCGATGTAACTACCTATGGGTTATGAATGAATCAAAAAAGATTTGACCTTGTCAGAAGATGTTGAGGGAGGGACAACCCGTATGAAAAAGTTGGGCTGAGTTAGGGACAACCCTTTCGAAGACGATGACCAGAGTTCGGGACAACCCGTTTGATGACACTGAGAGAACCCTTTTGAAGACGTTCAGTAGAGCTAAAGACAGCCTACAAGAAGACATTAAGTTTGCGACAACCCGTCTGAAGACAATGGGCTGAGTTAAAGACAACCCACTGCAGAACACGTTTAGTAGTTTTCGTGACAACCAGTGTGAAGAAGTTGAGTTGAGTTAGTCCCAACCCGTCTGAAGACTTTGGGTGGACTTCAAGACAACCCGCCTGAAGACACTGATTAGTGTTAGGGACAACCCGTCACAAGAAATTAAGTGCCGTTAGACATGGCTTACATCTCCGACGTAATCGGGTCAGTCCGGAGTGCGGTGTTAACACTAATTGAAATAACCAGGTTATAGGACAACCACGGCGGACATGGTGGTGGACATGGGAACCATTATCGAAGCGTCTAGATTAGTCTAGACTAAAAGTACATCCCGACGGACCACTGAGTAAGTCGTTGCCATGTGAGTAAATGAATGTACTTTACCTCACCATGCCACCCACCCATACCCTTAGTGCCGTTACAGTCCAAGTCTTCATATAACGGAAAAAATGACTGAGCCATTGACTGTAAAAGATGTCAGTGATGATAAAATTTTGTCTATCTAGTAAGTAGCAGGCAGGGGCGTCATTTAGACAAGGTATGGTGGGGCATTTGCCCCCCCCCCCTTGAATTTGCAGGTTTAATTAAAATGTGTATGTTCTGTGGCGCCTCCAGTAATATACAACTAAGACTTAACAAGCCGACCAAGTTTTGGTTTTGTCCCACCCCTTGAAAAAACTGAGACGCCCCTGCTAGCAGGCCTCCAAGGATTTTAATATAAAGTGTCCAGGATCTTTATAGGAATACAATGTTTTAGCAGAAGTTTCAGGGGCGTGAAAATACTTTTTTTAGCATGGGGTTTAGAGGAACACTAATTAAAGTACAACTCCAAGTTATCTTATTATTTCAGTTTCAAGTTTCAATTTCCGTTGTATACCCACGTCTTCTTGGCTGGCCGTACGAGAAACCCTCAATGTATTACGTGTTCTGTGTTGATTGAATACGAATAAAAAAATATATAGCCGTCCTTAACTGCCAAAGTATCTCCCCCCCCCCCCCAACCCCAGACTTAAAAACAGCACCCTCTCTCAGCGACATGTAACGCCCCGCCGACTTCATAAATCCTGTTCTCAATATTTCATTCTCACTGTTTGACGGAAGTCCCTACACTCTGTTATCTTTCATCATGTGACTTTAAGGAAACAGTTTTCCAAAACTCTCGCCTTACGTTCATCCAGTGCCCTAATCACCGACCTGTGCTCGGGGCGATGATGCTTCAGTCTATCCGCCATTCGAGAACTGTGTACCGCTTCAGTCTGTCATTGCATGGACTGCTGTGAGTGGGGGGGGGGGGGG